GAGACCTACTCGCACACCTCGCTAGTCCTCTAACCCCCCCCCCTCCTACCTACTCTACCCCACTATCTTCTTCCTTTAGGTCCTATCACAGTCTTCCTCTTGTCCCGTAGGATCCTGCTTTTATCTGCCTGGTTCGGTGATTTCATTCGATCACTGCCACCATACGGGGCGTAATGTTCGACACTCTGCCTCAAGCCTTCACAATACCTTTCCTCCGAGCTATCTGCTCAGGTCCCCAACGTCTGGATCTTCAGGCTGGATGGGAAGCTAACCTGAGGCTGTAGATTCCCGTATCACCGTTTGACATGTGCACTGGGCAAATTGCATGGTCAAGCCTTAAAATTCAGGGATCACCTCTATGATAACACTTATCTACTAATGGCAATTATCAATGGTCTCCGCCGCATCTCTCGTGCTGCTATCCATAATGCCAAATCTGTGACATTTTCATGCCGTAGGCTCTTCTGTGCCAACCCCAAAATGTGATAGTTGTTCTACTTGCTTTGAGTAGGCCCACTTTAGATGTTTTCACTTGCCTCAGATTGTTCCTCTCTGACTTCCTCTTGACGATTACTTTCTCTCGAGTTGAAAATATTACCTTGCCTTAGTCGTCTTCTTTTACTGATCTTACGGTACTCTTGTATCCTCTGAGTTCGCTTAAGCAACATGCTAAGTTCTCGCTAATCCTGGCTCTTTCAAGTCACTTGTTCATTGGAATTATTTCAGTCAGGATATCGATGGCCTCTTGGATCATGCGTTTTCTTGTACGTTCACGATATACAGTCAGCCTTTCTGCCAATTCCAGTAGATTTCATAACCCGTCCGTGTAATGTGCTCCACTATTTCGGATCTTTCTGTATCTATGTTCATGCTAAGCATTTGATGTTCCTTGATTTATAGGTTAATTGTTCTTCCTGGTTCACAGTTGCCACAATTTATGCCATAAAATTCCGAGCAATCCAGTTTAGCAGTCTTCTTGAGTTGCGTCGGTAGGCTGGTAAAGAGTGTTGTCTCTTCATTTTACATCACCCGAGTATTCCATTTTCTTGGCACCGGTCGCACTTTTTGACTCTACTCTCAGGAGGTCGTCCTCCCGATTCCAGATCTTATTGTCATAATATCCTAGTTAATATATGCTCTTTATGGCCCCTATACTTCTTTCTATAAATTTCACGGGCACCCATTACTGAGGCACATCTGAGTTACATTATTTAACTAGTTCCAGAACTCCATGTCCGTTAGTCCTAAGCTTCTGATGCTCAAGCTCCTCGGTATTCTCTCTCTTACTCCATAGTTGCGATGAGACTAAGAATAAAGATTATTTCCTCAAGGGATTTCTTTCTAAAGAGTCTCAATTTGATTTTTCCGTTGCAGCGAATCACCTCAAATGCTAGCAAATTTAGTCGGTAATCCACCTCCATCTTCATTAAGAATTAAATTATTTCCTCATGTTGGTTCATAAAGTTGAAGAATTTATCCAAATCTCCTTGCCATTCGAGCAAAGCGCAGAGGAGTCATCCAGATATTGCATACCTAGTAATTACTCAAATTCCAATTCCAACTTGTCCATAAATACATTTTCCAAAAGAGGTAAGAATTGAGATCTCATATATAGTCCAAATATTCACTCATAAATATTGCCGTTGAATCTAAAATATGTGGCACTTACTATTAGTTCGATCAGTCGTGTCAACGATTTCTTACGTATCCGCTCTGCTTCCATAGTATCCTCCTCTCGTTTCAAGATCTCCAGCAGGACAGTGAGCGTCTTATCACCTGAGATATTTGTGTACATGAACTGTATGCCAAAATTAATCAAAAGTTCCGTCCCTGTTGGTCCAATATTTTGGATGCTTTCAGAAAATTCATATGAGATTTAAATGGTGTTCAAGAGACTTGGACTTCGAGCATATAACTTTCACTAGTTACTGCTTCGTTTCATGTCAGTTGTTGACTAGTATCCTTAATGGTTTACTTCTTTGTGTATCTTTGACAATCCTTATGCTGTAGATCGTCTTGTGTCATTTTTAATTAATGGATTCATCATCCATCTGTCAATTTCTCCTATGTCATGGTTGGATTCTTTCATAGTATTTGCTAAGTGTTCCAGTCATCTAGCATATATTCCATTTTCTCCATGTCAATTCCCCCTGACCCATCTGGAAGACTATTTGTTCATTCCTTGGAAATTTTCTGTTTATCCTCGTCAATATGCTCCTGTTTATTGGCTCTTAATCTGCCAAAATTTTCGAGACAATTTCCATTTCCTTACCTCGTTTGGTCTTTTTTGGGCATGTCTACGAAATATTATCAACCTATACAAGAATATATTTTCAAAATTTCCTTCAATACGTAAGGAAAAATTTAAGCCCTTGTTAAGTAGAAGGTTTCGGAATTTAGAGGGCTAAGGACAAGCGCAATATCTTATTTCCATCGTTATTTGGCGTAGTGGGTACCGACACTTATCACAGAGAACTTCAGGCGAGATGAATTCATCTGGGTCTACCAAATAACATGAATTCCTTGCGAAAACGAGGCCAAACCAACACTATATACATTTTGTTTGGGCATTATTTATATGAGATTATTTCAGCCTATTTCGTTAAAGATGATGAAGAACTGGTAGTAGAATTTTCCCACAATGATTTGAGTAAAGCTGACGTTTCCATTGAATTTCACATAGCCTTGACTTCCCAAAAGTTGTTATCATCCAGGATGGACTGCGTTTCGACCTCGGCAAGATCTCATCAAGACCCCTAGCCGGAGTCAGATCATGATAGTGCAGCGTGGAATCTCGACAAGTTGGTCACTATCTCACATGGCCACGAGTGCCTTTAGGTCAGAGGGCAGATGTGAATTTAACGGAAGGCCGGGCATTTTCCTGTATGACATCCTTTGTTAGGAATGTCAAATAAGCATAGTTATCTTTGCAATAATACTCAACTTTATTACGTAGTTTTTGTTCATAAATAGAGTCTCAAGACTAACAGTAGATCCGTAACGTAGTCGATTATCATAGCAGATATAACTTTGCGTCATCGATAATTGCACCAATGAATGTGATATGGGCAAATGTCTGGCCTTCCTTTGAATTCACATCTGTCCTTTGACTCAATGGAACTCGTGGCAAGGTGACATAGTGCCTAACGTATTAAGATTACACGCTGCACCTTCATGGTTCGAGTCCCGCTGAGGGTATTGATAGAGCCTATGCCAGGTCGAAACTGTAGTTCATCCTGGGTGACAACAACTTTTGGAAAGCAAGGCTATGTGAAATGGAATGGAAACGTCAGCTCGACTCATAGTGTTGTGGGGAAATTCAACTATCATTCTTCATCACCTTAAACGAAATAGGGTGAACACACCTCATATGACTGCTTTACATGCAGTCTCGAAACTCTACTTTTATCAACGAAAAATCAGTGGTATTTGTCATATTTTTTAGGCCAATTAATTCTTGTCTTCTATTGTGACTTCAATGTAGAATTTGTCAATTATTGTACTTTTTCGCGCTGATGGCCTTGATAATATTTTAATGCTTACTCTAGCCTACGTATACAATGATCAATTTACAGCTATTATAAATTTTCAGAAACTTCGTGGATTTTTAGTTTATATCTGTGTCAGGACTGTCTCTGTCAGGAGTTAACTTGAGTTATGGAGATAATTTTTTATTCACTAAAAAGAAGCTGATTGAGTGATTCAACTATTGTAGCTATTTTAAATTTTTTATTCTTTTGAATGGGAGTTTAGTGTGTCGATTAACGATAGTTGTATTTGGTAGAAATTATAAGTTATGTGAAGGGTTTTCATGGATCACACCACACTACATCAAAATAAGCACGGTAAAAATTGTGGCAGGGAAGGTGTGAAAGGATGAATTAGGAAACGGGAATAGACCAGGGCAGAAGGAGAGATACCACAACTGTCTGGCACACGTTTATTCAAAGGATCGGCTTCACTTGTGTCTTTTGACGAGCTGTTGTGTGGTGCTAAGAATGGCGATACTGGGAATGTACCACGTCTACGATTCAACTTTGGAAATGATCATGCAGACAATGGACCCCGGACTAGCTGCGTTCCAATAAGTCTTCCTACCAATATGACCATGTTGCGAAAACAAGGTCAAACAACCTCTATACAACAAATTAGACTGCGACCACACAAAAGGCCACACCATCTTGGTCTTCATACCTTATAAGCTTCTGTTGGTTTGCTAGACTTCCACCTTTTATGTGACACCATTTCTCTGAAAAATATTTCAAATGAGAAAGTGGCAGAGTAATGTAATGCTTTAGAAGGAAGACTCTGTTACATTGACAACTCAATAGTCAAGCCTTTCTGACTTTACAAGATGCCAGAGTACAGAGGGTGAGTGTGATGGAAATTGTGACGTATACTCTCCAGAATGAAGTGCATCTTGCTCTGTTCCGCGTCGAATCCACTGCCAAGGCGTACAGCCATATTCCCCGTTGTCCGCTTTACACCCCGGACGCAATAGTCTCGACCACCGATACAATGACGCCCGAGTGGATAAGCAAAGATGTGTAAATCACCGCTAACAAGTTGGTACCATCGCTCATGCCCTTCTCTTCTCGGGCCAACATCATTTGGCATTTGGCAGTCTCCCTGTGGGTTGAGGAGGCGTTGCAGGACAAGTTTTCTGCCCAGCGTGGGAAGAACAATGGTCGCATCCTCGAGGCATCTTCTAAGGGACTGCCCATGAAAGAAGTGACTTATATTGCCACGAAAGTCACCCAATTTGCCTGTATACGCATGTAAACAAATGTGTGTATGTGTGTGTGTGTGTGTGTTCATGTAGGGCTATCGTTGTAAGTTCTACTTCTGCACTGTTTATGCCGAGGGATACAGTGACTCGTGCACATGTGGAGGCTATGCACCGGTGCCCTATTGGACAGGAAATGCAGCATCCAACTTGAAAACTGGCCATCCAGCTCGGATTGCGCGTTAGGCAGGCCAGACGGACTGCGAGAGGTGTAGGGACTAATTCTCGGCCGAAGGACTGGAGGGAAGAAGCGTAGCTCTCGAACTCGACGCATGAAGTGTTAGACGGAAGGGAGGGAATGCAAAAAATAGTGAAGCAAGATAGATAGGAAAAAGGATAGAGGAGTAGAGAAAAAATAGGAAGATGGGCAATAAAATGCGCATGGGCAAACTGTCGAGGTGTGCAGACTTGG